GGGGGGGGGGGAGATGGGCACACAAGGCGGCCCCACCCCGGGCCGGGTTGCGGTCGGCCGTCACACTCCGGCCGGCCGGACACACCTCTCCAAGCGCCGGCAATGGCTCGGGCGAAGATAACGGAGGCTGGCCGGCCTCGTAACGGGCCCCTGTACCCCGCCCCCCCTCCCCCCTCCACCGGTGCCCCCGCCCCGGCGTCTCAGCGACCGCGAGTGCCCCTCTTGTGGCACCGATAGGCCGGGCGAGCCGGAGCACCCGCGCAAGAAGGCGTGTGCGCGCCGGCGTGCGCGCGCTCAGCTTGCCGGCCTCATGCCGGCGGAGGACACGGGTGCCCCTGGTCGCACTCGGGCGAACCGTGGGCCGCGTCTGGAAAAGAAAAAAGAAAACCTTATCGTCGTGCGCCCAAGAGGGCAGGGCTTCCCCCAGCCGCATCTCCTAAGCTCGGAGGAGCCGGAGCAGCAGGATGCGTCCCCCGGCCCGGGTCCCGTCGCCGGAGAGTGCCGCCGGAAGGCGGGCGGCCCAGATAACCGCGCTTCCTGGGGCAAAGGGATGGCCGCGGCCGGGGCGGCCGGCCTGACGAGGAGCCGGCAGGCGGGGGAGGTACACACAGATGAAGCCGGTTAATGCGCGTTCCCGGGTGCACACGAAGGAGAAGGGGGGACTTGGAATTCGGCGCCGGCTTGTTTGGGAGCCTGGGGGCGGGGGTCTCCTCGCCCAAGTGATCAGCGGGGTGGTGCCATGAAGTGTGTATGCGTGCCTGCATGTGTCTACGCGTTTGTGTGCGCGCGCGCGCTTTGCAGGGATGTTTGCGAGGTCTTGGTGCGCCGGAAGTCCGCGCATGCACACAGCTCTTCCCCCCTCGGCTGGGGGAGGCGGCGGAGGGGCGCAGGGGGGCGGGGGGGGGGGGGACAGAATAAAAGCCCGGGGACGGGAGAGCAAGTTCACCGCGGCAGGCAGCAGCGCCTGGCCAGGAAGATAAGCTGCTCCCCGGCCGGCTGGCCGGCTAACCTTGCTCCCGCGCGGTACATGCTGCGTTGGCCAATGGGGTGGCCTCTGCCGCCCCGGGGGGCCTCCCCACAGGGGCGGGGGGGGGGGGGGCAGCGGGAACCAGCTTATCTTGCCAGTGCGCAGAAATGCGCCCGCCCCGACACTCCCCCTGGGGGGCGCGCCCACCTGCCGGGCCCCCCACCCCTGGGCCCTCCTCCCCGGCCGGGCAGGCGTGTGCGTGCATGGTCAGCTCTCCCTGGGGAGCCAGTTGCCCTGGGCCGCGCGAGCACCACAAAACAGGGAGCGAGGACCCGGCCAGGAAGCGGAGAACCACATCCGCGCACGCACACACGCGCGCATGCACATACGACACAAGCCCCGTCGAGTGTTCGGGGCGCCCCCACACCGGGGACAAGATGACCCGGAGAGAGGGGGACATCCAAAAGGCCGGGCGCCCCCGGGCCCCAGGAGGACACAATACACATTCGCACGGTGATTTCACGCTCCCCCGCGCCTGAGGGGAAGGGGGAAGGGCGAGGGGGGGGGGGGGTACGGCGGCGCTGGCGCCAGCGCCGCCGACGATCGGGCACGGTCGAAACCGCAACACAGTGGACACACGGCGACGACCCTGCCCCGGCCTCCGGGCCTGGGAGGAGCGGTCGCCCGTCGGTCGCAAGCGGCCGGCCCCTGCAACCCCCCTTCCACGCCGAGCGAGTGTGGCGGCCGCGCTCCCCCGGGGCACTGGGCCGGCCGAGCCGCAAACAACGCTGGCTCCACTCAACCCGCGCCCGGGCCAGGTGCAAGGGGCGCCCGGCGTTCGGCGAGGAGCCGCCAGCCCGAGAAGAAGGGTCCCGGGGCGAGAGCGATGGCACCCGGCCCGACACGCGGAAGACGGACGCTTGACGCTTCCACACACACACACACACACACACCCCGGTGTCCCGCGCGCCCGGCCAGCTGACAGGGGACGCAGGACTCGCCACCCCGAGGTCTGATCTTGCTCCCGGTGGGGGAGGGGGGGGGGGGGGGGGGCAGCGGCGGCGGCGGCGGCGGCAAGACACACCTTGCAATTTCCTCCGAGTGAAGTGTGATTTGCGACCGGTCGGAGGACAGCAGGATCAGCGAGTACTTGCGCACTCGGCCACGACACGAGAAATCCCGCACGGAAAAGAGGTACGCCAGGGCCGTGCCGCAGGAGGCAAGGGCAGTGTTCTTCTTTCGCCCCGGCTCTCTTGCCAGCCACCAGCCTTCCGCCGACCCGGGCGGTCCGAGGGGGGGGGGGGGGGGCCGGGCGGGGGGGGGGGGGGGGGGGGGGGGGGGGGGGGGGGGGGGGGGGGGCGCGGAGATGCGGGATGTGGGAAAGCGATGCCCCGCAAGTGTGTCTCCTTCCCCGGCGCTTACCCTGGCCCATGCGAAAACACCCTGCGCCCCGCGCCCCCCGCCCCCGGCTCTCCTTTCTCCTGCGTTCTCCGCCCCCTGTTGCGAGCACACGCGGGTCGGGCCTTGCCCGTGAGAACCCCGACCTCCGAGCCGGGGGGGGGGGTAGACCGCCCGCGCCCGGGCCCCACGGGTGCGGGCAGTACACCGTGCGCGGACCCCCCCCCCCCCCCCCCCCCCGCGGGGACCGTCCTCCCCTGAAGAGCTTGTACCGAGCCGGAGGCACTTTGTGCGGAGCCCTGCACACCCGCGCGTCTCAGGCGCGTGCGTGTGTGTATGTGTACGCCCCCGCCCTGCCACTCGGCCCGCATCACTCTCCGAGCAATGTGGGCCCTCTCGGGCGGAAAGTCCCGGGACTCTCTCATCTCCGCCCCCGGCCGGGGGTCAGTCGGGCAGGCCGTCGCATCGCCGGACGCCAGGATGAATGAACGCACATGCGCCCAGGAGGGGAGGGGGAGGACGCTTTCATCGTCCCCAGCCCCCGTCCCACCGGCCCTGGGGCCCAACAGCCCCCCCGGCCAGGGGACACGCCCCCCCCCCCGTGTGTGTGTGTGGAAGCACTATCTGCCACCGGTCCCCGGAGCCACGACAGCCCCGATCGCTGGCCGATCAGCCCCGACTGACGTCGACGTGACATGGAGAGCGGCCTCGCTCACGGCCGGGAAGCCACACACGCAGAAAAAAAGGAAGGCACAAAGGCGGGTGAACAAACAACACAGAACAGGACCGACTCTCGGTGAAGGCGCGCCCCGGGCATATGCGGCCAAACTATTTTATTGTCCATTAAAATGCAAGCAGACACGCCGGGGGGGGGGGGGGGGACACACGTACGCACACCGCGCGCACAGCATGGGCCACATGCATGCACACACACACACACACACGCACACGCACCCAGGAGCCC